CAAACATGAGAAGAACAAGAATATGTAAACAAAAATAACATTTGTACGCATATTTACTCTTAGAACTGATCCATAATATCAACTGAATTTGGACGAGGAAATATAACATTATAATAAATAACGAGTGACAAGATTGGAGAATACACTCCATTTAGGACAAGAGATCAATGAGATGGGATTATGATGAACGATACCTAAGGAATTGGAGTGGATTAATGTAAGCGCTATAGATATTTACAAACTTTTATATAGTGTCCGTGAGGTTTAAACTTATTAGTTATTATTTATTTCTTAAACTCACCGAGTGCATTACTAGGAACGGCTAAGAATCAGTTGTGGAGTCGTCAGTCACCAGAACCGTAAAACCTGGCACAGGTGTGACGCAGGTATATATGCTATTTATTTTCTTCCAGATCTTGATTTTCAAAATTCTTTATTTTTATACTGTGAATCCAATACTTCTTTCCTTACCACTGTCTCTATTTAATTCCACTATTTTTAGTACTACAAATATCCCAACTACTTTGCTGTTTAATATGCTAGCTTACCCTCACTATGGCGCGGGAACATGAGCCTATCTAAATGTTGTATTAAATCGATTAGCTGAATGAGCAACCATTAGATATTATCGATATTTAGCGTTGCGACCAAATCTACTGATAGTTATGAGTCAAGCCTAGTATCCTTACAAATCAAACGATTTCACTGACTTCTACTTATACCGAGTAAGCCCATTATTAATTCATGGTTAGTTATCCTTGTGATATTGATTTGATTATTTCCAAGTATTAACAGTTTTGTACTTTAATTAAGTATTACTTTCAACATTCTCAGGGTTTCATATATCTCCACAAAAGTTTACGTTTATATAATACGGTCATATTGTTCGGCTATTGATAATCTAGTGGAAACGATCAATGACTACAATCGGTGTCAACCGTTATGTCTCTTCCTTGGTGGAAATAATGAAGCGTTCTATGGCTAAGCGCTTGCCGTCTTTGACTAATTCCTAAGATCTGACTTCAGCGGAATAATCGTAATCTAGCGAGTTTGGTGTCGCGGAAGCCATACTTGTCAAGCGCAATGCATCTATCGTCATCACAACTAAACCTTGCCTCCATTTTCTGGATACAACTGCTGTTGACACGGTGATTCACTAGTTTTCCAGTTCTCTAAATAGGGAAGAAAACGAGCATATCTGTGCCACGGTCTAGAAATGCTGAAATCAGGGAAGTTCTACAGAGCTGTTGACATAGTCGTTCAGATTTTGTCCATATATGGACACAATTATAATTATGGAATTGTATCGCAAGTAGGGACTATTTCTATTCAGTACCTATTGGTGGAAAAACGAAGCTCAGTGAGTTACTTATCTACAATATCACATCAAAAATAAGCTTACAAAAGGAAGATCAAAGATTATCGAAAGCCATAGTTACCGAATCCCCTGGTATCGAGACAACGGTAGCACTACTTATCATATTGAGCGGTAGGTTTATTTCAAACTTCAAACATCTCAATTGAAAAGGAAGATGCACTTATAATTCCTGAGTATTAACTTTATAATCTAAGAATAGCAACCGATTCAAACGAAAAGTTAGAAGCGAAGAATTTCGGAGTTATATTTGATAGGCTTTTGATATATGGAGAAGTAATAACTCTAAGCTGGCTATGTAAAGAAAAGGTTAGTTTTTCGAACAAACTTTCTTAGCCACAAATCTTTAACTTCCGAGTCTTTTCTGGCTTAGGCAAGGACTAACAAGAATGATACATCACTCAAGCCTGTTGTAGAACACCAACGTAGATGATCTACGTCGAAAACGATTGGAGGCCTACTCGAGTCAGGCGTGAATGGTGTGACAAACTGGCTAATGTCGAAGTCACACCTCGTGGTTAGCACCTTACGTGGACTGCCCCATAAATGCTGTGAAGACTGTAGAACACGGAGGACGTTATTACAGGAATATATTAGTTAAAGTAGATACAAGTGCAAGTAAGACCAATGCCGTATGGGTCAGTCCATGTCATACGATTAACTGATGACGTTGATTGTCCCTGATCTTGATGAGGATCGATGATTTGCTCGATATTCAATGACTCAACTCCCAAATGATTTGGCGATGGCTTAGTGACATTTCACTGACCCTACACTGTCCTTCAATTCCTGTCAAAATTTCTCATCTTCGATACAAAGTATTTAGTTCTTGAAAAACCTATTTGCCGAAGAACTCAAATAAAAGGCAGTTGACATAATCAGATCATCAGAAAATGTGATTGACAGGGTTGAATTGGTGCATTTTACAGTCATATGCCCAGTCTGATATCACGTTCTAACACGAGCATATGTGGAATTATGGTCTAGTATGTTATTAGTGCTGCTCTAATAATAGACCTAATTCTAAATTTGTAGATTTGTCATGATATAACTGCCTAATCTTACGTGGAAGTCACACCATCGACTACGCCAACTCACTGTATCATATCAATTACCAATACATGATGTAGAACAACGTTAGGCTAGAGAAGGAACAATATATTTAATACGAATAGAAGATATAAGATAACATTCAGATGGACCACGCCTGCATGGCCGAGCCATGCCATCCGATTAAACCCAGTCCATTCAATTCACTGTTCGCGCCTTCTCCATTGTTAGGTATTTCTCCGCGTCAAATATTGAATATCTATTTTTCGAGTAATCTCGTATTCAGCTTTGAGGATTGTGTGGTTACGGTCCGATGCCACTACACATACAACTATTTAGAGCTAATATGTCTTTATCAAACATCATAGGTTTCTAAACTAACGCAAATGTGCAGACTAATTTTGAGAAATTTAAAATATTTTCATGTTATTTTCTGTCTCTGATAAGAAATTCTACAGCCTACAAATATAATGAATAAAAACACTGTTGAGTAGTTTGTAGTGTGGCGTCGAGTCGCGTTTGACTACGATCACCACTACAAGACGAGTCCGTACCAGAAAATCAGAAGGCGAAAGGAGATTGTAACCAGGTTTATTCGTTGGCGATCTCAGGTATCAAAAGTACATCAAGATCGTGCCAAAGGAAATACAAGTGGAATCAATTGGCGAACGTGCGAGCGTACAAGGTTACAGTCACCGGAAGTATAATGGAGGAGTAATGGATGTCTTTAGTACGGTTAAACATACAAGCACAGTAAAACAATCACTAGTACAACTGGTTATAATAATGACTGTTTTCATTAAACCAGTCGCGAGATGCTTGAAAAAATCCAGGACACTTATATGGAACTGATGTTTTTGTTCTACAAAGAGGATCCGGCTTTTCGAGGTAGTATTGCTGGTCGAGCTACAAAATATTTTGACAGAAATCTCTATATGGCTTCAAAGTACGAAGCGAAAAGTTGCCAACTGAATCATTCAGAACTCATTCCACTGGAGGCAGCACTCAGATCCCAATCCAGAATTTTCGCAGTATGATCAAATTGTCCTCCTAGAGCACCATTAAATTTCGAGGTTGAGAAAGATTTTTTGTCCTGCAAAATCATGTTACGCTCTGATTGTAGTAATTCAAGCTATAAAACCCACGCATGAAGAATAAGGTAAGAAGTGCAAAAAAATGAGACAGAGTTTACAGAGTATTGGCTACTATATACGATGCCGCTTGAATTGATGAAAATCCTGACCTCTATGAGTGCATCCTCAGAAACGCTAATGACCCGTTCGCGTCAGTGTTTTAGCTAATCATGAAGATAGCAGTTTTGAAAACCTTCCCTATGATTAAATTTCACCGACTCTTGCATTTGGCATTATTTCAGTTTAAAATAGGGAAACTCATCTCGGTTCCTCCAACTAGTGCCTCTTATCGGCGAGGTCAGTGGCATTCCGCCAGTCAAGAATACAATGCAGCGGCCCACTCTGCGTTACTACATTTGCAAAACGACCTACAAAATATCTACGGTCCAAGACTACGACCACAAAAGACGTCAAGACGAGACCTAGAAACTAACAGCGGATCCTGCTCTACAGTATCAAGCAAATATACTGAACTTCGAAACGATTGAATATGTGAGACTACCTTCTACTACGATGTGCAATGTCTGCTGTGACAGATCGGATTGGTAGATGAAAACATGGGACTAGACGACGATGTCACTGACTGTCTACTCGAGGCTTGTTGAACATTGGTTAGGGTCGCAGAGTTGACTTCTGGGATTTGTTGGGTCCCACAACCTCCTCCACGCCAAGATTTAGTGCCGCAGGTGTCACCAGCTTTCATCCTCCCCCAAATTAGTGAGCTTAAATATTATCTGCCACCGTTAATTACGCAAAATCACTTCTCTCGAGCCGTGTGCTTTAATGATTAGTCATTGTTAACGCCATTTTTGCTATCACAATTTTGACTTCTGCTACCTATTCTACCGCAGTGATGTGATACGATAACTCAGGTTGATACAGATTCCCGACCAATTTGCTGTTGAACATTACTTACTCTGAGTGTTGAATATTAAAAAAGCGAATTCGAAATATGACTACCATTTCTATTTGACAGTGTATTTTTAAGTACTTGTTAGAGAACTGAGTGATGTTTCCCACTGGGGACAATAAAGCATCGAGGAATGAAACTAATGTCGTAAATTAAATGGCGATTCCTTCATCCTATTTGGGAAAGGAAGTATATGAAGAATAAAAACAATCAGAAAAAAGCACTTTTTGGCGGTTATCAGAATGGCAAAATCAAAGCCTCTGTCTACAATCATTGCAGTCATTTAAACGTACTAGCAAACATATCATAGTATTATAATATAATTGTCTAATGACACTGAGTTATGCACCATGAATTGAAAATGTGAATAACTCAAATTAGAAAGAACGAAGTGAAATTAGACAAAAAATATGTTGATCATCAAAGAATGGACCAAATGAGATGAAAATATTAAACATAGTATATATTTACAGCGTTTCATCATAAAAATAATAAGTACATATTATTTGTAGCTTGTCAAGAAATTTCTCCGCTACGATAGTTCAAATCCAGCATGACTATTTATGGCATATCTTAACTTTTCTTTCAATGCACTACGAGACGAGTAATTAGGTAATTTTAAAAGATTAAAACAAGTAGACGCAGTTGGTAGGCGAGATACTTCTTCACGGCGACCAACAACCCCCAGAAATCCTTTCAGTACTGATCCTAGAGTATCACCGACATCCTGTAGAAATCAAAAGTAAAAATGTAAGAAAATATTTACCAAACGGAGATTATCCTCATTTCAAAACTATAAACAAGAAATCCATTAACAATAAGTATATCGATTAGATAAAGGACGTAAATATCTAGATGTCATCAGTTATAGATTATGACAAAATCATCGAAAGTGAAATGCATCATTGTGAAACCCATCTCCCACGAATTTTTCCACTTTCACTTTAGAGTTATAATTTCTAACAAAGTAAACAATATTAATTTTTTAACAAACAGAATTTCTATTCTCATTTTTCTCCTTTGTACGTCCATAGTACACTTAACAACTTGTTTTCAAACTTATAGTTTTATCTTCTCTCAATGTTTCTATTAACAAAATATCAACTGTCATTCTAAAGTTAACAAGATAAAATCACTAATTATGGACAGTTTTGGCATGAAAAGATGAGGCCTAGTCATTTAGTTATTCTCTCTATCACTGGTTTATATCAATAACTAATAATAATAATTGGTAGAATCTCATAAACATAAAGTAATATTCCTTAACTTGCCTTCATGTTTTATTCATCAAGGTAATTTTAATAATAATAATTTAAAATAACGTACTTGATCTTCATTAGTATAATGTACACAACGTATACAAAATGGTGGTTCAAGATTAGAGAACCCCAAAAGAGGTGGCCTAGAACAACTGGTGACAAACTGTAGAAAAAAAGAAAACAATTGATTTCTATTACGTAGAGAATGAATGAAATACTTTATTTCACTAAATACTGAGGGAGTATGAAATGTAAAATTTTATGTATATATTGTCTATAGAAAACGTTTCTGAAATTAATGTAGAGACAAGTCAAGTACATTATGGCTGACTGGTAAGATAACATTTAACTGTATCAGTTGATTGTCTATCTATCAACCTTCGATTCAATTACTGAATCGGCACATTTACGAGTTATACAAAAATAACTGATTTTATCAGTTGAACAACCTTGATTATTCGACTGAACGAATTAAACCGTAACCAAGGATGCAAGAATCCCACTAAGAAAAAACACTATGAATAACGCATTATTAGTAAACACTAAAAAAGAATTAACAATACATTGTGTACAGAGCTTGAAGTCACTAACATATTAGACAATCAAACGCCTGCAAATCATGTGACTTATTAAATATTACTGTAAACTAACTGGTTACTACAGGTAATATTACCCATTTATTCTGAAGAAGTGGCTTAAATTAAGTCACGAAACGTCAGAAATACAATTTTTCTACTCATTGGGATACAAAAATAATATATCTATTATTAACTGGTTACTAGTTATTGTAGACTTTGTCGTATGACATAACAAAGGATAATGGCGTATGAAAATTCAAAAACATGCACATATATGCCACTTAACAGTTCTCTGGCTACAAGTGGCATAAAATTCATACAAATGTATTAAATAAATAAGGTTCTAGATAGCAGCTTTAAAGCTAGTAATACAATACGCCATAAATTTTTCAATCAAAGTGCAAGTCCCACTGTCGACATACTTCTATCTAAACACAACTAAATAAATCATTAATGACACAAATAAGTGTAAACGGAGAACACATTAACTGTACCGGTTTCTTGTCAGAAAAATTAAGATTATGACATGATTGACATTATTATATGGATTGTGAGACGGACAGTGAAATAATAACTAGTTGTGTAGGTGAGGGAGTAGAAATAAACGAAAACAACTTACCTTCAAAAATAAACTACGTTCTCTATCGTCAAAATCACGCCTTAGAATATCCCATAACCACCGAATTACACGATGATTACTGTGAAATCCACCCGAATAACGTGTATGTTGTCTACAAAATTAAAGGAAAGCCTATATACTAAAGTAGAAACTGTTTAGTGGTAAACTGAATTATGAACAATAGAGGTCCTTTAAAATGATACCAACAGGTTTCAGACTAAATACATTTAAAATAAATTCCTCAACCATTTATATCTGGAAGGCATTATATATTATTTAAACACATTAACATTGATGCAAAAGGGCACCAAAACATATATGGACTACACAAAGTTGTTATCATTACCTTTGCGTATGTGCTGGAATACTACATGGGTGCCCAAACCGAAGTACATGGTTTTCATAGAGGAGCATTCCCCAAGCATTTGACTTACACATCTAATTCACGAGGCAGTAGAGAAACGTTAAGTGATGCTGTCCCATGGTGACCGATTACTGACAATAGATCCACACTCAATTCGATCCCCTTAGAATTCTAGGGCTCATATGCACCATTGGCTTGGAACCAGGGTTTTCCAACTAGCCTACATGGATCTTCCATATCGACCAACTCGGTTTAAGCGCCAATATTCAATTTTTGTGCTTTCCATTTCATAAACAATAACCGCGCCAAGAGAAGGTAATGGGTAGAACTACTCTGACGGAGGCTATCCACAAACGGCCATATGAGAACATTTCAAGTGGGGTGCAGGGGCTCCCTCATCCACGGTTATACCAAGCAATTCGGGGACTATCTAAAGTGCACCAAGCAGTGATGTTTATTTGGTTTAATTTGTGAAAGTGTCATCCGTTTTAAACATTAAGGTACAAAATCAATATAAATATGCAAAAGAAAAGTGTACATGTAGGCATAAATATAACCAATCAAGCAATAAAATGGACTAGGCGGTCTGTTTGAATATCTGTGCTACCTATTCATGCCATCCGGATATTTCAACAAGTTATCTGTTTTCTTGTTTGTTTTAACATCATTATGCCCATTACTCGCATAACCTATTCAGGAGCGTTTGTGACAAGTTTACAACATTTCGTTGTACAAGTTACAAAAGAGCCCAATCAGAGATATCATGGTTGCTGGCAATATGCATCGAAAAGAATGTATATTATTCAAATATCGATTCCCGAACTGCTAACATCTAACTGGTGACCACTCAATATTTATATCAAGGATCGATCAACAAATAAGAAAAGGGAACGTGTTGAAATACATTATGCTGAGAATTCTATATTGTACCAGAAACATAATATTGAATGACGGCAATAATATTAATAATAAGGATCAATCCTATTTTATGTAATCCCATCATACGATAAGTTTAATTTAAATTGACTGATTACAAAGATAAGTTCCATCAAAATATAAACCTATTATTTATTGTTTACTTACTTTAAATCATCAATATCCATTGAACTACTATCACCTGAGATAAGTGTTTGTAATTCTGATGGAGAAAACATAGCCAACCAATCAGGATTTAGTATAGAATAAAATCCCCGTATAAAAGAAGCAGTCTGTGCTCTAATTTGTTTATACATTCGAAAGTGAGCAACGCTATGAACGTAACTTATTCTTTAAGCAAAAAAGGCATAATTGAAATCAAAAAAATACATTTGAACATTGAATACATTATCTAAGATTACAACGGTCAAAATTTTAAATAATGTCATTTGTCAATTACATTTTAAATGTGAAAACCTATGTAGATTTACTAAATATAATATTACTGAAGTAACTAGTCGTTGTTAATTTCTGTGAGCAGCAAATCGACTTGTCTTAGAAGCATTCAGTAAGAAGGAAACACCTTAATATGTAATCAATAATTTTAGCTAAAAAGAAAAACTCCCACTGACTGGGAATGTGAAATAACAATTTAACAAACCGCTTTGAAATTAAATTTGTGCAATAAATCAACTAATTAAATTGTAAATTATAATGGTAATTGACTTTGGAAATAAAGAATATATTATTATTTAGTGAAATATGAAACATCGGAAATTGACGAAGTCTAAAGTTTTGTGCACTACTAACACATATACAGTATAATGAAGGTGGGAAAATTTCGAACAATCAACATTATATTCAATTTCGACAGAAATCCTAAAACCTCTCGTTTTTAGTAGGGCATTAGGGAGAGATAATATGACATATAGACAACAGGTTGTTGTTTCAAGTATTATGTAACGTTCAAAAGTTGTAAATAGCTACCGCTATAAACCACAATTTGAGAAGCACCTGATTACGGAACAAGATGTGAAAAAAATTATGTACACTCTAAACATAAACACTTTACTTCAATGCTTTATACACATTTAACATGAAATTACTTAGGCGTAAAAAAAGAAGAAATAGATTACTTGACATCATTCGTTACAGAAATTTGACGGCCACCAGGACAGAGATCATGTATAATCACTTGACCTAGACAATCTTCAGCATAAGAATAAGTGAATTCCAGATCGGAAACATCTCCATCATAATGCTAAAAAAGAATACAATTTAGATTGTGAATAAGAAAAAAACATCAAGTACAAAAAATTACTGACAATATAAATGACTTTTAAAAATGTTAGTGTAACCCACTAACAAGTTATAAGTTGATCCATTCACCGATGGAACAGACTGCTCCTGTGAAGGTTAATAATAACTCAGTTTTTTAAATAAAAATGATTACAGCAGGATTCCAACTAATTTTCAATCGATCACCCACTGCTTGGAACTGGATAATTTTTCACCACTAAACCATAGCCTCATATTAACACACAAAAGAATGTACATCCAATAAAGACTATAGCAAATATGTAGAATCTCAATTTACGAAATATTTAGTCAATCTACTTGATAATTTTTATGATACAACGCGTTTCATGACTAAATAAGTTGTCATGACCATACTGACAGTCACAGACTGGTAAAACGAATTTAAAATATTACTAGTCGATTTATTTAATTAGATCACACTAACCGTAGTGTATTAAACATCTGTGACGATAGATATGATCTTTTATGTTCAAAATATGTAAGTCAGCTATATATATATATATATATATATATATATATATATAAATAGACGTATTGTTTCAATAAAAGTTGGAAAAAGTTTACAATTAATTCTGTGCATACTGAAAGTGGATGACACTTTTCCACGGTTATGAATGTATTGGAAATAAGACAAAATGTCGTGTCGCTAAATGACTATTGAATATATCTAAATCTGTTACAACTTAGCAGCTTCGATACTGTAAAAATACCTGAGTATGCTTGCTTTCATTTAGAAATTAAGAAACAAGATGGTTGGAGAAACATTACATGTGAGGACGGTTGGGTTTTGATACCAATTGTTTTCATTAGTCTACGAATATATAATTTATACATGAGATTTTAAATAAAACCAACACACTGATAGGCTACAATACTGTGTTCGCTTAGACTGTTGAGAAGTTTTATATAAGCTTGATGCTCGTTTGAATTACTTACCTAACGTTAAGTGAAGATCAATTGGGGAGAGTTCCGCAAACAATGCGAAAAGATTGCTAATATAAGTATGGAAGTTTATTGACCTACAACTACATGGGAAAGTATAAACTGACACTAATATTATTAGGATAGTTAAAGTTAGGTATTGTATCGTCCAGTAATGATGAAATCAGCAATTTTTGTCAAAACTTCAGACATTTTGTGATAATCAGTTTACAGGATGTTGGTTAGTGTAATGAATTGTAACCTTTCTTAGTCAAACGAAATAGCAGTACAGAATTAAAAAGAGTAAGTTTCGACCATCGATCCCAGGATACAAATTTTTCATATTATGTTTACAAAATAGCATATATTAGGGAAAAAAAATTTTATAGGATAGTTTATTGGTAGATTATGTTGAATGTAGATATTAGATGACTCTCCGTGTTGGTTCATCGTTGTCTACGAAGGATTGTTAAAATTTGGTCGCACCACCATATTGTAGGGGTTCGGCATCATGTGTTTGGATACAGCAACGATAATTCAATTGGTGTCATCATTTTGAAACATCGACTTCAGTGGCTTGGAGATGTCTTACGAATGTCATACCAGAGAATTCCACGCCGTGCATTATTTGTCGACGCTGGGACCACTTGCGAAATGTGGAGAGGTGGTCAGTGTATGACATGGTGTCGTGGTATGAAAAAAGCTGTACAAGACTGGTATATAATGGCCCTTCACTTCATCGTTGGTGTCCTAGAGATGGTGCAACACAGTTGCTTGAGACGTTATCAAATATGGCTCAGAATAGATTTATTTATTTGAACATATAAATATTGGTACAAAGGGGCACCAAATATATATGCGCCACACAAAACAATGAGAATGGGGAGAAAATGGTAAAAGGCGTAAAAGAAAAAGAAGAATAAGAGGAACAAAGTACATACCATACCTACGGACACTGATTGCCAACTGATTAAGTGCGGATTGCATGCCTTGGGCATTATCGCACAGTAAGACAATATCGTCCGCATACTCAAGGTCGAGAAGTCTTTCTCCAGGCAACAGATCCACACCACCATTACTTACATTCATCAGAGCTGTTTCCAGAATGTCATCGATGGCAAAGTTGAAGAGGAATGGTGAGATTGGGCAACCCTGCCTAACCCCACTGCTCGAATGGAACAATGGAGAGAGGTGGTTGTATGCCCTCACTCTGCCTGAGGTGTTTTATATAGGGCTTTTAGGATGTTAATAAACTTCTCAGGCACACCCTTCTTCAATAGACAATCCCAGAGAACAGTCCTGTCCAACGAATCGAAGGCAGCCCTGATGTCAAGAAACACTACGATTGTTGGCCTTTGATAAGTATGGCGGTGTTCTAACATTTGGCGGAGGGTGAAGATATGATCAATACATCCTCGACCAGAACGAAACCCAGCCTGCTCCTCGCGAGTCAATCTTTCTCGGGTTTTGAACAACCTACGAAGTATGACGGAAGCCAATAGCTTGGACGCAATCGGAAGTAGACTTATCCCCCGATAGTTGTTACAGAACGACGTGAACCCTTTTTAAAGATAGGGACAACTATCGACTCATTCCATGACGTTGGTACACTCTCTAGTTCCCAAACCTTTGTAAACAACGTCGTCAATTCCTTAGTCAAAAAGTCACCACCATCTTTAAAAAGAGCCGGAGGTAAGTCATCTGGGCCAGGTGATTTGTAACGCTTCAAGAGTTGGAGTTCCTTGCGGACTTCCTCCTCGTTTGGTGGATCAGTCGTCACCGGCCATGGAGGGCAGGACAGTCTGACCGATGTTGCCGGAGCAGCAGGCCAGTTGAACTGCCCTTCGAAAAATTCTGCCCATCGTCCAAGACGTCGATGGATGTTAGTGATTGGCATCCCATCATCCTCGCAGATTGTTTCACTCACACCAGACTTCTTGCTGCCAGTGGCTCGGATGAGCTGGAAGAGCTTCCGGTAGTTACCAGATGCAGCTGCTGCTTCCAGCTCATTAGCACGCTTCGACCACCAGGCTTCTCGGTCCTTACGCAAGCTTTGCCCAATTTCCTTACGTAACATCCTTCGTTTATGGTCAAACTCACGGTCACCCGGAGTAGACCGACGGGCTTCAATGAGTTGTAAGGAACCAGAAGAAACCCAGTGCTTAAAGCGGGACGTTTCGCAAACCCACAACTGACTGTTCCCGCCATTTTCATGGCGTCATGCAATTGCAACCAATGCTCATCTATACTTTTCGGTGGGGTGGTAGCTAGCTCGGTTCGATACTTACTTGCAACAGAAGTTGCAACCAGCTTGCTAACATCAATCCATTTAGGATGATGAATTCGTCGGCCACTGAAAAGTAAGGTAAGATTGGCGCAGACCAAGGCATGGTCAGAGTCCAGATAGGTACTCCAAAAGGAGCGGCAGTCTTGTACACAACCACGCCAGCGGTAGCTGATCGCGATGTGATCAATCTGAGTCCAGGCTTGAGATGCAGAGGGAGGACGCCAGGTGGCACATCGGCGATGACTGTGCCGAAAGTTAGTGCTAGCCAGAAACAGGTTGTGGTCTGTGCACAGTTGCAGTAGACGGTCCCCGTTATCTGACCTGCGACCAACGAGTCCCCATCGGCCACCTAAACGACTCTCTTCTGTGCCTAGACGCCCGACCTGAGCATTCAAGTCTCCGGCTAGTACTACAATATCTGTCGAACGCACTTTCTGGAGAAGAACAGATAACTGGTGGTAAAACTCATCCTTGATTGCATCCGGGCTGCAATCTGTCGGGGCATAGGCGGAGATGACGAAAAGACATCGTTTCTCACGCCGATTTCTTCTCACTTTGATGGAACTTTCTAATCTAACAGCACATAACCGACTGTTAATGGGGATCCAATCGACTAGTGCTGCCTCAGCTCTAGCGCTTAGTGCGACACCAACGCCAGCAAGACCAGACGAAGATGCCACAGGGTCCCCGGATAAGCGCACGTAAAACAAGCTTTTTGAAGCGACAGATGTAGAGCGAATTTGTAGTACTTCACCAGAGTCTTGAATACGGGTCTCGGATAGACAACAAACATCAATATTAAGACTTTCCAAAGACATAGCCAGCCCTATTTGTTGTCCAACCTGCATAAGTGTGCGAACGTTGAAGGAACCAGTTTGAATGGTGCACGTGGTTTCGGAAAAACTGCTTCAGTATTCGTATTAGGTGATAGCATACAATTTTCAACCAGGCAATGACTCGAGAACGCCTAGATAGAACCGAGTTTCCACCATAAGCGAGCGGCTGTATAAGTCGAAAAATAAGGATATATAAAGTGGGAATAAAAGAGTGAATAAATGACGTAGTAAATAATAATAATAATGTGAATTTTTTCACTATAAAACGAGGCGAGAATAGAGTTTTCTGTAAATACCATCATTTTCATTATCATTATATCTGTGTGTGGGCTGTGATACTGCCCGGGTGCTTAGACCGAAGCAGGTGGTTATCTTAGGGGGCCACACCCCGAGCCTTTGACCTAAAGGTCTAACCCACAAGGCAGTGGAGCATCGTAAGGACATGCAGTCCCATGGTAGCCGGTGACCAACGATTGGTTCATACGCCATTTGTTCTCTAGGATACTGGAGCCCATGTGCACCGCTGGTTTGGGATCCGGTTAAAGCGCCGGACACTCGCTTTTCTTAAACAACAACCCCGCCATGAGAAGACAGTGAGTAGGACTTCCCTGGCAGAGGCTGTATACGCGTGGCCGTGTGAGAGCATTTCGAGAGGAAAGGCGGGCCCGCCACACTCTCGGCCATACCAGGGCATTTGGGGGCGCTCAGAATAGAAGGTAGTGGCGATTTTGCTGTAGCTTTTTTTTACTTTCTACATAAAAGTAGACGTAACTTAATTAACTGAAAGAACAATTTCTAGTTGTAGTTTTCCTAACTGGACTTCTCTTATTATTATTTCATTCTCATACATTAATTTGTGTTCATTGTTGCTCTTCTTTTTACTATACTCATCCTTTGTTCTGTATCTCTTCACGACCACATTGTTATTGTGTGGTGCATATGTATTTGGTGCCCCCTTTACCACTGATTATGCGTTCAAATAAATAATAAATAAACGAACCGATTAATGTTTTTTAAAGTAATAACGTGGAAGAAATTATGTGAATTATTTTAGAGTTATATTTGTGAGACAATTTAAACTATAAAAATTAATTAAGAGAATCCAACTAACTTTAATATAACTTAAACTTTTGTATAATTCTTTATCTAATGTGGCTAATTCATCAAGAAAACTGTAACATCCAGCTTTTTCACGACCAAGTAATTGAGTTAAAAAGAAATTTGCAAATGGTACATCCACAACAATACACTAAGAAAAGTATAAAAACAAACTAATGATAACTGAAGTGTTCTAGAAATTATAAAATTAGCTAATTCATAATAATCAGTATAAACTTGTGGAGAATGTTCAGTTTAGACTGTTATCATGAATGGGCCAATGTTAGGCCACCACTGATAACTTGAAAGTACTGGACGGCCGTTTCGTCCTACTATGGGACTCCTCAGCAATGCGAGTCCACGATCCTGCATGTGGGACCCCATCCTAGGACTTCCTGTCTCGCGCGCGAACCCTTAACCTCTAGACCAGTGAGCCGGCATCTAACGGTGTTAACGTCTAAATTCAACCAATCCACGATATTGCGCGACCGTCCACCATTGTCTTTAGTGAGTAACTGCCTCACAACAGACATGCTTGAATTCCATTGACCACGGCTTCATAATACATAAAACATCTGATTATTCTATTATTACTACTATTTTTCCGGCAAAGTAAATACCATTCAATGACATGATTCAGGTAACTTGAAAACTGTGAATTCTGTACTGTTCACTGTTTATAAAAAGTGCGATAACTTATCAACGTCATAACTACGTAACAATTAGAATAAAATCTTAAAAACTAGCCACGTGTGTTTCCATGACAATGTGTCCATTTGTTTATGATTGACAGATAAATGTGACTCTGATGACCCGAATGAGAATATATGTGTACAATGAATAACCATACGTGTTAAGTTTGTTTTACGTTCTCTCGCCTCATTCGCTTCTCTTCGGCTCTTTTGTGCATTGTTTTATGCTACTTATTAACATTGAGTAAACAGTCGTATTCCTAACAACTTCTACACGTATGTTTACATACATATGGTTTTAACATTTATTGTAGTTATCATTATAGTCAATTTTTTCAATCCTTGAAGCAGTTATCCACAATTCTGTGCGATCATTTAATCCTTGTTTAAACGCGACGGCTTCCATGTTGTTTGCTCTTATTTTAGTTTTTGTTTGTTGATAAACTATTATCAAGTTTCGACACAGTTATACAACCTACATGTTCACTTCAATTACTTTTGAACATTACCACAAGGTATTAGATAATTACACAATTTCAATAGTGCCTTTGTGGCACATAGAACGTGAATTATTCACGACATTACTGATTATTCAGTTAGGCAAACGTTTACATGATTTATTCGGATTCCAACAAAAACAGATCTACAAAAATAAGCCCTGTATATACCTAGAAATACCAAGTTGAAACTGAGATTGACTGCATACGTTTTACACCGCAGCTTTTCTCATTATTTAAACGTGGTTGATCAAATAGAACAGTATCATCACTCATGAGATAATAATATATAGATTATTGTCTGAAAAATCAATATATGCGTATCACTAAGATGTATTTATTCTCGATTACTTTTAGCGTTCATTCAAATGAGAAATAAAGCTACAAAGACATGTAGGAGTAATAAAAAAATAGATATACGAATGCACTGGCTATCATACTTAGAACTCTGTGGAAATTTTTCTGAATCAGTATGAAATAATAGTTAAAAGTTTTGTAAGAATAATTTGACTTTAGTCTCAAACACTTCTGTTTTGATTTAGATAGTTTTTACTTTATCAGTACCAGTGATATAAACATGGAACTTTAGATAACATACTGATGATTTTATGTTGCATTATTAGAATAATATAACAAGTGACAAACGGCCTTAGTAAAGTTACCTATACATGAAGAGTTTTCGATATTAATTCTATATGAATAACTCAGAGGTAAAACAATGCATCATTCAGGTGCTTATCTGACCCAAGTATAATCTGTCTTTACTCCAGACTAAATAATTATTTAAGAGGTTAATGATACTTTAAGTTTATGTATGTTAGAACCCCAACCTAACTGGTAGTACCACTAGACCTAATATAAAAAGTGTGAACCAAAGCTGATTAAACGGATATTAATTTGAATTCTTTAAAAAAAATCACGATTCACTATCGGCATTAGATAGTACACAGATTGGATATAAAAATCACTAACCTCATAAACAGCTTTGGCAAGCATTTTACCCAAAAATTCGAAGAGCTGTAAATGACTTTCTTGTAAATGTGAAGTAGGTGACGGATATAAACGCTGGTCATTAGTCACACGAAATAAATTTAAACTAGGGTCGAATACACGACGAAGAGTTTCTTCTAAGAATTCTTTAAACACACCGTCTAAATCAATACCAACTTCATCTAAACCCTACACATTAAAATATTAAGACAGATAAAACAATGAACGACTGAATCATAAAATTGAAATTAACGTACACATTAAATAAGTAAAGAGGTGAGAAAATTGTCATTGATACCCGTTCACCTAACGAACAAACTCCTAAATAATCAGACCTACCATTATTCAATAAAGTTCAGAATCGTATAATTTTCTTAGTATGCTGAACAGTTTAGAGGTTACAGTCTACTAATTGCTGATTTATTTGTCCTTAATATAGTTTATCAGGACGACATCATATTACCTAGTTCTTTTTCATTAATAAATGATAGTTTCTCAAAGTAAGGATAACAATGATAATATTTTTTTCTAATCCATATTTTCGTAACAACCTCTGTTGACATTTCATTGGTCATTTTCACTTTTCCTAATTTTACTGTATGCCAGTCATTTTCTGCTACAATATGTACAGAGTTATTCTACAACAAAAGTACATGCTGAATTGTTCAAAAAAAGATAGATAAATATGTATATACATTTCTGTCCTCTGTAAATGTGTGGGAAACACTTCAGAGACCAAAAAAGAAGAAATCAAACCACTTTTGGAAGACTACCATTTACATTTCAAATGATTAAAACTCAATAATACAACACTTTTTGAACACGGATCAATCTTTCAGAAAGCTAAGTCTTGATTTTCTAAATCCATGTGTATATGGTAGCTCTGTTTTTTTGTGTTTCAGTTCATTCATTTCTGAATAAAAGCATTACATTCAAATTGATGTTATTTACCTCAGAAAACATTAGGCACATAAGTGGTATAGGCTCTCGTGAAAGTCTACTTTTAATTATCAAATGTAACACACCGAGAATTATACAGCAAAACGTTAAGCATTACCACAACTACATAAAATGATTTATCTCTTAGTTCAAACATACCATTTCATTTACAAACTGTACACGTATCTTCATACGTAACTGAGACGAAGTTAAATTTGCCAACTGTTGATAACCATCCTAAAAGTGAAGCAAAGTGAATTAGTAACATAGTTACGTCACAACTACTTCACAATATACTTTTATCTACATTTCGATGATAATAATAATGCATCAAAACTTACTTCAACAATACGATTTCTATGAACTGTGATGACAGCACCAACTGGACCATCATCTGTAAGCCAATTTGTACGAGTATGTATCCCCAGTGATGCTTTGTCTTCGCGTACAAAATCTCGAAAAAGAATAACACGCTTAGGAAAAAATTCATTCATTAACATTTAAATAACATGACATACTTCTTTGTGCGGAATGATATGCGGGATATGCTTGAGCAGAAACGTCGCGTGTGGTTTCGGTTTCCGTAGATCTGCTAGAAAAGCTGAAACTTTGAGATTTCTGATTTCAACAAAAATTTTAATTTATCAGGTGTGATTTCAACGAAAATGACCCGAAATTAAGAAAGGAGAAAATAAAGAAAACGTAATGTAAATGATGATAGAATTTATCAGTGTTATAATAAAAATAAACAGGAAAAATTGAGATTCTTTTTCCTCATTTTTCTGTCTTTACAACAAACCTTAAATAACACAGAAAAAAGTAGTTAATCTGATATTTTAGGTTTAAAAGATACAAACGTTACACAAAACACTTAGGTCATAACTATCTGTAAACAAGATTTACTGTACTATAGTAGAAACAAAATGATCAGATAAAAATATTATACTTGCTTAAGAGGAAAACTCCATTGATTTTAGTAAAATTAAATTGTGTTAGCCAAAACATCCACGGCACAATGACAACTAGCAAACTGATGTAATTTTTATTAAAATTCACATAATTTACGGTGATACGTTTTAGATGAAGTATATTTTAATAAATTCCAAGAGACCGTAGTGTTTTCCATCAGAATATAGAGTGTAATTAGCCCAACTAATCTCTTGCTGATTAACAACTTGTGCAATTCAAGATCATGTATAAATCAAAAGTTGGTTGATACTCTAACTGTAATAATTTGTTGATAATAAGTAATTCATCAATAAATAGAAGACTGACAGACCATTGGATTCCTGCTAAGTGATCTGGAAGTTAAGTGTTCATGCCCGAGACCAAATGTTTTGGGTTCAAATCCCAGATGCAGGGTCGCGCATGTGCACTGCTGAGAAATTCCAAACTATGACGAGACACTTATCTAATGCTTTCAAATTTTTAATTATCGTGTAACTTGGGTCGATTCGTGATTTCAGTAACAAATATACACCCGTATAATCATATTCACACGTTAAATATACAAAGTAAAGATTATACTATGAATAAATTTGAAGTACATGCAGTTTTTCAACAACAAAACAGCGTATAACAGATTATACAAAGTAACTTACGATATTAACCAAAAATCCGGTGGTGTAAATAAATGTCTACTATCACGTTCATAGATTACAGATAATAAACGTAAACAAATTGTAAATAAATTAGGCATAACAGTAGATGAACTGTTTGATTGAACAACAGATTATTATTTTTATCATGCATTGCAACTGATTCATTGGTTTTATTCAATTTATTATCATCTTGACAAGACGGACTCCATAATTTAAGTTGATTTGCTTTTATAGGAGCGGAGAAAGACAAGACAATTTTATTAAAACACAAGTGGAATTTATGTAAATGGAAAGGTGTAAAAATAATAATGATTATTATTATTATGTTAATTACATCAAAGTATCTATTGAAATTAACTATTTTATTTTTAATATATTTATTCTGCACACCTTTCCTGCACAGGCTACAGTGAATATCGTTAAAATTGTTACTAACAGTTGAACCTGATTATATGGCTTTTTAAAGAGCTGATAACAATTTTATTGTATAATCGACTTTTCTTGATTAAATTAACTAATCCACTATGCACTTTGGTATGATGAACTAATGATACTACTTGGTTGTCCAAATGAAAAAGGCACAGTGAGGCTCGAATGTGTGACTTAATGGATGAAAGTTGGAAGACTTAACCACTAAATTATCGCTCCACGTTTTACGTGAAAAAGATTGTAACAGTCAAATATCATCAGAATAGTAGCAGGTGAAGTGAGGTTCGAACTAGCAACTGTGACTGACAGTCAAGGGTACTAACTAATAAAACATTAAACGAAAGTTCTTATAAAATTAAGTCATAGCGTAAAATCACGTCGTTAAATTTCACTAACCTATTTGTTATAACTTACAAACTAAGAATAAACATACATACAACAAAATGGAACAAATTATTTACTTTCACAGTTAGTTATCACCCTTGACATTCTCATAAAAAATATTTTAGAAAACAACATTGAAGAAGTATTTAGTTAACTTAAGAAATACTAACGGTCTCAACAATAAAAATTGTTGAATTTCACTGAAATCATGAACTGACTATCATTGAAAACCTGTAAGCACTGGATCACCGTCCCGTTCGGCGGTGCGCAACCATGATCTCCAACGAGGGGACCGAACTTAGGAAGTTTAGTCTCCATGACTACATAGTGAAAATTATCGTGTGCTCACCAGCAACTAGATTCGAGGTGAAATTTCCGGAGTCCTGGTGAGAAGTCGTGACTAGCGACGCTAATCCGTGCCGGGTGTGAGGTAGTCCCCCCCCCAAAAAAAGACGATGGGAGATGGTCATGGATTGACCAAGGTTAGTCATTAACACTGTTGAATACCGGCCTAGTGATCTAGAGGTTAGGGGTTTACATGAGACACCGAGGGTCCTAGATTCGATTACCGAGTGGAGGACTGTGGATGCGCAATGCTGAAAAGTCCCATACCAGAACAAAATAGTCGTCCAGTGCCCCCAGATTTTTACTGGTGATCTAACTTAGATTGTCTCATGATTTCAATGAAACTAAAACTTATTTCTCGAGTTTTGCTTAGAAAGCACGTTCGAATTTCTTGTGTCATGATGTAAATTTTTATACCATCCTTACACAATTTTAGTACAAACATGTTGACGGAGATGAATCTGATTACCTTAATCCAAGAATCCATTACTTAACTGAGGATACTCAAACATCATAGTTGATATGTATAAGATGTAAGATATTTCGAACATTGAGTAACGATTTGAGAATCTACAACACATGGTATTTGAATTTGGCAATTATGAGATGGTCACTAGTATTTGTTTGTGAGTATTTACTTTATAAATAATCCTAGTACCCAGTAGTATTGTAGTGAACAAGAACACCAGTGGAAACAATCGAATTTATTTGACACGAAATGACACAGCATCTCAATAAAATCTGAGAACCATATAGTAAATCGTTAATTTGTAAAATATCAATCCGTCATCCCAAACTTAACTGTTCCTGTTGCAAACATCAATCCATTGTCTCAGATTTCATTGTTCATGTGTTTTCATACAAATTGCGTTCCGTTCTCGTTCTTTCCTCATCGACCTTCTACTGAAATACATTCTATGCCTGGTCACCTTCATATACTACATGTGTGGATATAAGTACCCCACACCACAGTATCACCGAATGAATCTAACCAGAAATTTTCAGGCAATTACAGTAAACCAGTCAATCAGGAAGTGAACCTCTGTCAACCAAAATGGTGCAAATTCATTCATCCTTTATCTTTCGCCGAATTTCAAGACTTTTTGCTTTCCAATTTTACCAGCACTAATGTTCTCTCTTCCTGACGATCTTATTTACATAAAACGTTGTGGAACATTTTATCTGATGCATTACTGCACAACGGCTTTACAATTTCACTGTTTACAACTCTATCTGTAAACCGATATGATATAGACAGTTAAGAATTGTCAACTTCGATTACCTACGTTATGAGCATATAGTTATTGTGAATTAATAGAGGGATGTATTATCTTGTAAATTTGATCTCATTTGGTATTTTGCCGAATAATACATTTAATTTACTTCTGTTTAGTGAAATCAAATAAAATTTACCTTATTAATAGAGTAGATAATAACTTTTGATCAAACAGTCACATTAATGAAAGATAATTGACACTTACGATCTGGTACCATAATGACTGATTCATAAATTAAATGATTAAAAAATGAACCCATTGAACATAATTCGTCAATTGTAAACGATTTTTTCAATTCAAATAACTCGGCATCATCTAATATGCTACAAAGAAAAGTATACAGTAAATTATACAATGTACTAATCAATTTACCTACTTTTCATAAAAGAAACATATTTTTTTAAAAGTTTAATTATTTATAAATAATTTTAAAGAATTAAAAACAATTTTTATTGTGAACTGATAATATTTGAAGAATTAACTGAACGCTGTAGAAATTTTTAGTCTTGTAATCGTTAATCTATTAAGCAATGCTGTTATATTGCGGAATCCCCACTGTGATAACTGAAAAATAGGCTCTATCGTCACTGTTATGTACGTACCGCTTCTGTTGAGACCACAGTTTTACTGCTTTTACTTGACAATTGGAAAAAACTGCAATTAATCGATCCTACCATTTATACAGAGAAATCAGTACAATTCCCACGACGTAAAGTGGGATCATGAAATATTAATGTAATGAAGGTTTATTAACTCGAAGATCCAACGACAAGAAGTACCAAATCACATCACCCTCAGACCGCGATACAATCATTCATAAGCCAAATTTCATACACACTTTGTGGTACCACAGGTGAGGGGGAATACATAGAGTTACTCTAAAAACACGCAATAAATATATTTAACTTGAATTAATACAGGGAATAAGATTTTCACATTGAACCAAAGTTCACATTTGTCATATAGAACAAATAATATTCCGTCATATCAAGTGCGTACCAACTAGTTCACACAGGAATGAGCAATTCGAATATGAGAGGATATTGTCAACATGAAATATACTACCATAAGTTTACACGCAACAATTATTATGACTATTTATTTTTCAGAGGTTTAAAAAAGAGCACACATTCAACTAGAAGGACATTAAATTTAGCATAAGTGTAACTGATTTACAGTAGTCCCCTGGTTTTTGAAAACTAAATTGAAGTCGCAATTCAACGTAAAATATTTTGAATACAGTCAATTGTATTGAGTGAAACAATCAGATTATAAAAACAGATAAATAAATATTGTTCGCTAAATTTTTAGTCCAACTTTTCGTAGAAGTGCCTCAAAATATCAGTATGATTTAACCACATATTGTGACAAAAGCGAGTCGATGTCAAATGGTCTTCGTTACACAAACCGTTTTGTATTTTGTTTTATATCAACCGTCACTTTACAGAATGTATGAATGAATATAGAATGTTTTAACGATGAAGATAACTCTGACCAATTTAAATTTAACAATTATAAATAATCCACTGAATTGCTTAGAAATTCACTAATGACCTTCAAATATCCGAGTACAAGTTTACATCGCGCTCGACTTTTTTCACATCTGAAGCCACAGTAATATCATGTTCACAAAGTGTCAACAGCAGCTGAATACATGAACGTGCACATGGCTTAATAACATATATTCAGTTAAGTAAAAACCGGTATTATATATAAAAGTAGACAACATACCTCAACAAATTGCTTGTAGCTGATGCAAATATTTGCATCAAATGAGATTCATGTGGTTCTAAATGGTAAACTGATTGTGAATTCATAATCACATGAGCCCAATCACGTACAGATCCACAGCAAGAAATTAAACGCCACATACGAGGTAATAAATCACCTAATGATAAACCTGTAGTGATTGTTAGTTATTGAAACACAATAAAATAATAAGTTATGCTAGGACAAATAAATCGAAGAAGAGACATGACAAAAGAATCCTGATGAAAATTCATCTTGTAAATAAACAAAAACTGTCCAGTTCCTCAATAAATACTCTGAAAGTTGATGAAGGAAACATTCAACTAATCAACTTAGTAGATTTTTTTTTGAGAAAACGAAAAATGGATGTCCAGATATATGAATAATTTCTAATGTATTCCCTAAATAGTAATCTGAGTGGGAACATTGCATAATTTATTAATTATAACTACACGATTGTAACATCTCGGTTAGTCAGTCATGCACAACGTAGAACTTGGTACATATGTGTATGGGTTCAAGTTGCCACACCCCACTAGCACAGTGAAATGAAATTTTAAAAGCAAATCTCAGAGTAGTAAAGGTAGTAACATGATTAGTGACAGTAAAATAAGATTAGGGAGAGAAGATATGACTCAAGAAAAAAATATAAATTAGTCGGAATATAATAAAAATTTGTACGGTAATTTAGAATTACAGAATCCAGGGTATGAGAAAAAATGGATGCGTCTGAGCTTAAGAAGTCTGTCGTCCTATTTGACACAAGTTTTGAACATCAAACGCTCCAACTTGTAGCTTGGAGCGTGGGTTTCAGGAGACAAAAATAACATTCCGTGAGTTCATACCATTAGCATCGATGGTGCGTGGATAAGGGCTAGTCGTGAGAATGGGATAGTTATCAAGCGGTGAGGTAGGGATTTGAGTGTGAACAAGATGATCTCGAGTGATGTTAGGAAGGATATTGCCTCATGAGAAATCTGAAAAGGAAACTGGGTTAGTGATGGTATCGGTGATGTGAACGTGTGACCACAGAATCAAAGGGGAAATTCTTGAGAAAAATAAGGCACTGTCTTTTTGCGGCGAGTATTCTATGTGTTGGCTTCGTGTTTAAAAAAGCCTTGCTACTGGAAACGTTATTCCATGAGGCAAGGTGAGGTATAAGATTTCTAGAATCAAACTTCTCTAACCCCTTCCGCTTGCAGCATCACTGTAGATGCTGTTTGCCAGGAGGAAACCCCATATTGCTGTTACACTGTGGTACAGTCGGGAGTATGACTCGGGACTAGGACCATGAGTTTTCTGTTTTTAGAATTACTGTTCTTCAACCGACTTCCTTTGAATGGTAAGACCTAAAGGAACAAGTGTTCCAGATAATATAACTCTATAGAGTAACTAAGATAGGAAATCCCGACCACTACGGTCGCGGCTGTAACACTAGTAGGATTTTCATAACAGACAACTAGCTTAAGACCATAACTTAGGATATCTAACACATGTGTATCATGATCTGAGATATGCTACTAAAATATTGACCTAGAAATTTATGTTATCCTGATACCGACCGCAGCTGCTACGCGGTGGTCGAGCTTGCCTATCGTGATGAACCAACCGAGCTATATTGGCTGGAACATATGTTCCTGTAGGTCCTACCATGCTAGGCAGGTCGATTGGAGAACGGTAAGACTAAAAGCAGCAACTCAAGGTCTGAGGGCAAAGTCGTACTGCTGACTGTAGAGGGGTGTGACAGCAGCAAGGTGTTTCCCTCAAACAACCAGCATCTGCAGCAATGCTGCCCTCATACCCGTAACAGCACATGAGACCAAGTTGGTCACATTCAAATCCTTCCTACACCTCCTAATACTTCTCTTATCTCCATGACTAAACCTTCTCACGTCTCTTTATCACCTCGCACCGCTAGGGAAAACGATTCGAGTACGCGGAACGTTATTCCTGGTCTCCTGAAACCACGCTCTAAACTACACGTAGGAGCTTTCAACGTCCGAACACTGTGCCAAATAGGACAACAGGCTTCCTTCGCTAGGACTTTAGAATCTCGCGCCATCGATGTATGCTGCATCTCCGAAACGCGCATACAGGATCCGAGTAGCGTCATCTATTTGACCTCACCATGCCAAAATAAAGAACCGACTCGATTCACACTTCGTGTATCTAAAGGCACAGATGTTGCTTCTCGTGGCCTCGCCGGCGTAGGTATAGCACTGAGTCCTAAGGCAGAACTAGCTCTCTTAGACTGGATCCCAGTAGACAGTCGTTTGTGCGCTGTCCGACTAAACGGAACTGTAAGGACCCGGACAGATAGGAACACTCGTTGTTGCCTCTTCGTCGTCTCTGCCTACTCTCCCACTGACTGAAGCTCAGTTGATGTAAAACGTGAGTTTTAGTAAGAATGGCAAATCAATTGATGACGTAGTGAAAATTCATCAGTTGAGATGGCTGGGACATGTGTCACGTATGCCCAACGACCGACTGCCTCGATGTGCGATGTTCAGTGGTATAGGAGTAGATTGGAAGAAAGCTAGGGGCGGCCAGACCAAAACATGGAACAAGTCCATGAAGTCACTGACAAGTAGACTGAGTCATATTGGTAGGTGTAGACTACCTGGTTGGGGACCGCGAGATGATAGCAAGCGATGGTTAGAGACCATGAATTATATGGCTCAAAATCGTTTGCAATGGCGCAGGTGCATACACTCTTTGTGTTCTGCCAAATCCTAATCTTCTGGATTCTTCATGTCCCTTTTTTCTCTTTCCAAATTTATTTCACTGGATTATACTCTTTGAATAACATCTTCAGACCCTAATCTTTCAGATTACTGCTTATACTCTTACTACCTGTACCACTACGGGATTTGAGTCGACAATTGTAGCTCTGTGCTAACGTACGTACGAAGTCCTACGTTGTTACTGACTGACTGGCTGATGTTATCCCGGCTACAGTGAATTAAACACTAAGCATGATTAAAGCTTTTTCTAGACCAACTCCTAAAAAATTGCAAAATTTGCTAAGTGATCATATTCATTTCACTGAATAGTTGAAATAAAAGTGAGCTAAATAACATTGCTTTCTAATATACTTTCAGTACATTCTAAAAAAAGTCAGCTCAAAATAATCTAAATCTATACCTAATGTGATTTATTAACCACATCTCTGCTCCAATGAAGTCGGTAATAAGATATCTTGATTAGTTTTTTCACTATCCCGAAATTTCTCGATTTTATAAGCTCAAATTACCACCATGTAAGCGTGTCGATTGTAGTACTGAGCAGTAACAAAAACTGTAACATGTAGTTCATTTACGGGACTAATCCAAAAACTTTTAACCCAAAATTTTATATATCAGACAGTGAATTCGGACTAAAATAGTAAACTATGACCAGAACAGGTTCATACATTACTCATTACCGATAATTCAAAGTCGAAAATCTAAATTTACCATTATGAATGAGTGATTGATCACTTGAATAAATGTGAGGTGTTCGAGTGATGAGAGTTCATGAAAATCAGCTTATCCAAAAGCTTCAACTCAAGGAATACCAGATGATGATTAGCTGACAAAACTTACTTCTTAGTCAATAGAATATTTGCTTGAATGTGAAATAAGTAACATTTTGTTTTAAGCTGTCACTATTAAACTAATCTTCCCAATTTGTCGCTAGACGACATTCTCCATTACACGACGATAGTAAAAACATTTTTTAATTCGGTAAACAAAATAATAATGAAGTGTAATCTAATAAGAAAGTAAGAATTCAGTTTATTTAACCTGCCTGCCAATATAGCGCTTCTAATTTCTTTCAAACTTCCAGAAGTAAAACAATAAAGCATACACACAGCTTTTAAGGATTTCGGTAAATCACTTGGTCCAGGACTATCTGAACGTCCAGTGGAAAGATTTGGAATGTAATTATTAGTTATTTCTTTTTTATTTCGAAATCTAGCACGATATGCTGAAGAATTGGATATCTGACGTAGAAAATTTGAAAGACCATGACGTACACGATGCCCATAACCATCAATATCAGAGCCAGCCGATCTACTTCCGCCCATCCGTGAAATAGGTGGCAATAACCCTAACACAGCAAGTTTTTCTGCTTTAGAAGGTGCACCAGGTCCATGTTGACTTGTACAAGTTGTATTCGTAGAATGATGACCTGTGCTAGATGAACGGCCGTCCGATGTACTTAACTCAGGTAAGTTTAGCTCAGCTTGCGCATACAGATCGGCAAATAATAAACGAACCATCCGACCATTCCAGAGTAGTCTTAACTGACTTGTTACAAAGGACATGGCTGATTGTAAGCTGAAATATAAATAGTAAGAATAATAATTAGCTTATTCAAAGAAATGCAGAAAAAAAAATAAAATGGGAAATCAATGAACATCATCATGGTACATCTCAGATTTACAAATCGAATTAAGTACATTATTTAGTCATCATCTCACAGAAACTGATGAACCATTAAAATATTTATAAACTGTGCTACAAAATAAGAGACAATCGTCAAAATTGTGTAAATGACGCAAAGTGGAATTGTTTAAAAGCTGATAACAAATGTGATTCCTAAGGTTTAGGATATTTTTACAAAATGTGATGCATTACTTTATAATTCAAAAGGCCTTGTTGAAAGTCTACAATAATTTAAGTAGCCTTATTACGGATTTCAATAAAGATAAGTATCTAACAATGATATGATCTCTGTAAGGTATTGCATAAAGTACTGTTTATATAGTGTTCAATACACGGTCTTAGCAAATACGGTACCGAATCAGTGCTAAGAAGCTAGACCAATTCAGATAAAGACTGAGACGTATCACAAGAGTTCCTATGTATATATTTTATGATTTTACCTATCTTTTCACGATCAGCCGTTTCTATGTTAAACACTGTATTCTATATTTTGGTGGAGTTTTGTTCTCTGAGCTGGATGGTTTGGTCGTGGAGCTTTCATCATTCTTCTGAACGACATCATCAGCACAAACTTCAAATAGAAGTGTTTGAATTTCTCCATATGTGTTTCAAAGCTTGTTTTGTGCACCTCGATGTTGATTGGTTCTTATTGACCTTAAATTTGTCATTGTTTACTTCTTTGTTTTGGTTGTGTCTCCCATTGTTTTGATTTTTGTTCCTATGTTTGTGCATGCTTTTTCTGATTGGTTGATAAATTGGATTGATTTCAATATGCTTGTTGATTGCTGATTGACCTGAGTGCCAGGCTTCTAAAAATTCTCTGGTGTTTTTGGAGTGAGCGTCATATATTTTTTATTATCAAGAACCGTGACAAAAGGATTCTGGTTATTGAACGCTAGATTAACTATGAAACGGTAATTTGAATTAGACCTGACCAGGAATAGGAAAACCACTTTCTTATTTTACATTCTGTTTTATACGAACAGGCAAATGATTTGTCGAACAACCCAAAAGTCAAATATTTACAGATATTTTTTCTCATGACAATTATAAAATTTATTTAATGGCTATCCTGGACTCAGTAGCTCATTGAATAACACGTTAGAGCTTGAAGCGAAAGGTAACGAGATCAAGTCTTTATGTGAAAATCAACATTGAGATGAAGGTGCACCCTACTGACGAGTACCTAATAGGAATAAACGGGTCTACAGGATTCTACTACTTGTTACAATCAGTCTATTCTAAATAATTTGTGAAAAAGTTTTTTTGACTTGACACGCACTTATCAAAATAAGCATAACATTTTATAAACTATTTCCTATTTCTCAGAAATGTGTATCCCGTCAACTATTTGGGACATCATTATTTGGTGTAATTGAAGCGAAGAAATTTAAATATTTCTCAATTAATCTAACAATTAGAAAATATTTTATTCAAATGCAAATTTCTAATGACAATTTGATGAAAACAATCCATTACTTCACAGAACTTTTTTTTATTTCAACAAGAGAATTCAGAAACCAATAATTTCAAAAATGAGGGTCCCAACTTTTTGGAATTTATAATATGTTTATTGATTTAAGTAATTTTACCTTCGACCAAAGGACTACGAATCCTAACTCTATAACTCCTATTATAAATCTCATCTATCGCAAGGTTATTTTTGTTTGTTTTTTTCGTTAAAATTTTTTTCAAACCGTTGTCTAATGAAATGATTAGTTTTAAAATGGTGATTACTATTACCTTCATTTTACTCTAAGTTTATACATAATTACAAATCTCTAAGGCAGCCGGCCTGAATATCTGGGCTACCTTTTCCTGTTATCGACATATTTCAACAAGTTATGTTTTTGTTTGTTTTAACACATTATTATGTCTATTATTCGTATAACCTATTTAGGTGCAATTATGAAAAGTTCACGACTTTTCACTGTACAAGTTACGAAAATGTACAACCAGCGACATCATGGTGGCAGACAATATGGATTGCAAAGAATGAACATTATTCATATGTCGATTCCTAAACTGTTTCCATCTAACTGGCGACCACTCAATATTGTCAGGATCGATTAAGAAATAAGACAACGAAACTTGTTGAAATACTTTGTGCTGAGAATTCAATGTTGTACCAAAAAATATAATATTGAATAAAAGCCTTAATACTAAATAATATTTAGATCTAAGTATTTTTCAAATCTGTTGAAACTGATGTGTAGTCAATTTAATGAGTTTCAAGTGGTACCGAATAAAACTAGTCAAGTCAATCGGCAATTTGATTTTTCTAAAAATTCATTTAAAAAGGATTACAACACTATCATTTTAACTAAACCCATGAATTTTACTCGACAGATAAATTTCGGATTTGTGTAATAGCATGTGGAATATATTTTTAGGTACATTGCATTTCTAACATCGACTTAAATAAAAATAAAGGTTAAGTTAATCAGTGATCAAAGTTAGTAGTTTATAATATTGCCGTTTACAAGAACTCACGAATTATCTAGTGATTGAGCGAACCACCCCAAAATTGGATGCCAACTGCAAAGATTAGACTTTTTACTACCAACATAAGTACCCAAATAATGCATAGATTTGGATAAAACAATCTACAGTGAAAAAAATAAAACATTTATTCTTCGTTTATGAAATTTTCTTATTAATATTGATCCAGTCAAAGAGATGTCTGGCAGTTCCATTTTTAAGTACATAATTATCATAACGGCTAAGAAAACGGTTGTTATTCGAAGCCCTAAACCCATCGGATGCTCAATTAATTTGAATTATCATCGGCTGATTTACAGACCTTGTGATGGTGGAATTCTAAAAATATTTATTTCATATTTCTATGTCAGAAAATGTTTTGCTTAAATTTTTTTCTTTTTAAAGAATAACGCTGAGACGACATGGTTGTCGATCGTTCATTTTTTTGCTAGCATTCATTTGGATAGTCAGCACGAACTTCAAAAGTTGGTATATTCAATTTCGAAAGCAGTTATCCGTAAGTCACCACACAAAAGTGCTAATCATTATTTTAACAATTAAATCAAATGTCTGTTGTTTGTGTACAGTGTGAGGACCGTCCACGAGTGAACTCGAGGAGGCTCTAAGAAGCTCAGAAAGAGCCGAAGATATTCCATCCAATCATCTTTTGGAAGAATATTCCAAAATCCCTACGTGTAGATTCCTTATTGGATAAATGCTAATGACCCCTGTATATGGATTAAAAGACTATAATGATGATTTCGTTTTTACTAAAAACTACAAATACCTGACATTTCTGTACCATAAATGACACTGTTTGGAATAGCATTCCTTTCACTTGTCTTCTGTTTTCCCACCTGCGACTTGGAAGGTTCTAGTGTTCGAGTGCTTTAGTTTTACACGTTATAACAAGAAACTAAGCTCTAGATATAACATGCAGTGATAACAAGGAAAAGCTTATGAGGATGTAATATCGTCTTTCATATCAATATTGAGAAAACATTTGAAAACAGCTTGTATTATGAATGGATATCGGAATTTTTTAATGCATTAAGAAATAGAAAGCAGCGAATAACGGTCTCGCTTTGATTGAGAACTTTATAAACTAAACAAAAATTTGTACAAAAACCAGTATGAGATTCCTCAGCAGTGTGCATCCAGGTTTTCGGTGATGGTCTAGCTTAGATCGACTCATGAATTCAACTGTTAAAATCAAAATAAGTTAAGACTTTTTAGAAAGGTCACTTTTCAGTATTATTATTGGATTTGGATTATTTTATAATAGATTATCAGGCAACTGAAGAAAAAATATACCTTAACAATTTTGTAGACTTACACAAAATTCTGTACAATGAGAGGCCAAGATATCAGTTTCTAACAGACTGAGTTGGATAAGATTTGCTAGATAATATATATTGATAGAAATAATTAATGAGGAAAAGAAAATACTTTGTTAAAAGTTCAATGAATCCATCAAGTTTATCTATTCTAAAGAAACGTTCCATGATTTAGTGTATTGTTTCTTACCTGATTTACTACTGATAATTTCGAAAATTTTCACTTCAGCTTGGATTAAACTTTAGTGTAAAGCATTAAGACCAATTAATTTTAACCATCAAGCCTTACAAGCATGGATTTAAATATGATGTATACTCTGTTCAACAGATTCTGTGGAACTAGTAGTTAAAACATTGGTGAAATTCCATATGTGAGCGTGATACGTTCAAGTCTAAGTAGTGTTAGTCTTAGAAATACTAATTTAATACACCGGTAGTTTACAGGCATGTTGCCACTTTAAACGAGTTTAGTTAATACCGTTTGCTGTAGATGACTGCTACCTATATTTTTATTAGGATTTGATAGAAACATGATCTAGCTGCCCGTTTGGGAATCAAGCTTTGGTCTGGAAATCTGATCAACGACTCAATGTACACAATAATATGGACCCGTCAAGTGGAGATAAAGAATGGATTCTGTAGAACACACTGAGAAAAACCTGAGAATATTGAGCATGAGTGTATACTTTGACAAATGTTACAAAAAACTCCAAGATCATTTTGAGCAGCAATCCAATTCAACAAAACACACATATAACTTCGCGTTTAGTTAGTGAATTACATTAATACTATAAGTCAGTTTAAAATAATTAGGTTTAGTTCATAACAAAAATACAGAGACCTGAATGCCAAACAGAAAATCCTCAAAATAATTGACTATATTTGTAGGTATTAATGCCAAGTTTAGACTTCATAGTTTCAAATAAATTGAGCATTGGATAGAAAGATAGTAATAAATATATTTTGTGATATCTTAGTGAGTAGAAAATTGTTTTTCTGACGTTTCGTGACCTAATGTGATTTACTTCATCTTAGTAAGTAGAAAGAAAGTGACTTGCATTAAGTCATGAAACATCAAAAATACAATTTTCTACTCATTGGCATATTACAAAACTATAATTATTATTGATTGACTGTATGTTCAAATCAACCTGAATATGAAGATAATGGAAAAATTAACATTTCTTACCGATCAAGCATAAAACATATGATCCATCTAGCTTAGATAGTAGAATATTGAACTCTTCTGAACTATCGTATAATGTCATGATGATTTTGGAGCACAATCTCTCATTCACTATAATATCATACGCCTATATACAAAACAATTAAATCAGACACAGTTAAGATGAGGATTTGTTTACATACGTGAATGGACAGGAAAGTGTATAAATAACAAATGTACACCATTAATTATGTTTGTAGTCGAGTACTAGATTATGAATTCCATTCCATTCGCGTGTGAAATGACGTAAATGATTTTATTTATAAACTGCTGCAATGAAGAATTACACATTCGTAATAAAGTTTTTAAGAGACAGATGTCAGGGTAGTAGAGACATATACAGATTTTATAATAACGGTATATATATATATATATATATATATATATATATATATATATCCTAGGATGGCAATTATAAAACAAAATTCAGACATAAGGACGCTGAAAAGAGTCGTTTTGCTTACAATACTTTGATTATGTGTTCTATTGGAAATTGTTTATATCCATTAGAAGATTAAACAATTAAAAATTATAAATAAGTAGAAATTATAAAAACGACGAATAAAAAGAATTAAAGATTTGGATTTGAACTTATGAGTCAAAATAATGCACTGGGAATCCCCATTGTGATACAAGCCTCAAGGTTCTAATCACACAAGATAATGATATGTTGCGACGACAGTCATGCAACAGTCAAAACTAATCTTATTGTGTCAGCTATTTGTATTGCTCTATGGTTGGAGAAGTTTAACTTATTGGAATTTTCTTAGTCTCTACGTGACGGTTGTTGAAGATAAAACCTCTACTTGAAGTTTGTGCTGATGATGTCGTTCAGAACAAAGATGAAAGTTTCACGGCCAAACCCTCCAGCTAAGAGGACAAAACTCCACCGAAATAATCCACCTGAGCTACAAATCTTCAACATCTCAACAGCTAAACTTATTTTTTACAAAGCATCATTACATAATTAATGAGCACAATACCGACAACTCCATGAGGACTTTCATTTCTGAGTATTATAAGCATATTTTGGAGACTTGGTATTCTTTAAGTAAATGGTCTGATAAACAACCTATGAAGTGTAGAAATACTGAACAGAAGAAACTTGATATTTCACAGGGAGTTTTGGAAAGCATGACACTCAAATGAAAATGTGAACAATAGGCCTGTTATTACACACCTGGTTTATACATAAAGCAAACAAAACAACAAATAACATTACATAAAATGCATGGTTTTAAGTTGCTACACTTCGTGACAAAGAAGAAAAAATCAATAAAAGAGAAACGTATTAAAATAAACTAGGGACCTTATGAGTCGATACGATATTCTTGAGACGGAGCTTTCTCATTCAGTCTATAGAATGAATTATCTACCAACGGGTTATTCTTGAAGAGCAATTTTCAGCAAATCTATCAATTTTATCATCAACTGAAGATCTCCCATATGATGCCTTCTGAGTTACAAATTAACTATCAGCTATCAAAGTAAACGTCTACAGAACAAAAGCACTTTTAATGTGCTATGAAAACTTGGTACTTTTGATAAATCCACTGGTTTAACATGATGAAAACTTCGCATATTAATCAAAAAAATCTGACTATTTAAGTGAAGATGAGTTCGACACTGAATAACGATTAAACCTCACACCATCGGAAACATGACTTTGTCTTAATCAACGCAAACTTGATTGATTTGAGATGAATATTAGAGGTTGTTATCTGGCACAAACAACTCCTTTATGCTATCAGAATTTCAAAAAGCTTTTCAGTAGTTCAATACTCCTTATGAAATTCTATAGGTAAAAAACTGAGATTTCGGTAATAAATAGTAGAACTTCGGATGGATAAACCACCAAGACGCAATATGGGTGATGAAGACTTTGCACCGATAAGAAACCTTGTCTCGTGAGTCCAAATCAACTTATATGTTGCCAATTCCACTGTAAAAATATATTTCAAATTATTCGAAAGAAGATACTAGGCAGAAAAACAAAAACAAGGCTAGTAGATGTAAAGTACACATAAAAAATCAATCAAAATCTTTAAGGAAAGTTTAACGCCATTAAAAATATTACACTAACTTCATTCATCATGGAATTTATATGCAGTATAAATCCAGGTACAGTTAAGATATTTCTTGTAAATGAAATAACAAGCTTCTGAGGGAACTTTTCATATATCAAGGGTCTGAAATATAAAAATGTATTATACAGAAAAGTCCATACAAGTTGGTTATATAAATAATGAAATAAAACTTGAAAGAAATCCACGTAAATGCTTATGAAAATTGTAAAGCAAACTGTTTGTCATGGGCCTGGACAACTGCTTTTCCCTCTATCCTTACTTTAACTGGAATCTTTTATCATCTATAAAGACACTAACCCATATAAATCGGCTAATAACGACATCCCACAAAATAGTATGTCCTAATAAAACAGACGATAAGAAAAGCTATTTTCCTAAACAACTTTTTTTGCTACAGCTTGGAGCCTAAACATTGTGATGTAAATATTTTTGTATAGCTGAGAAGTCAGTATCATAAAGCTACAATCGAAAGTATTGGATCCTATCAAAAGTATGTTGTCTGACAACTTTAGATTGGTAACCTAAAGTCGATAACAATACTTTCCTTCAAGTTTACTTAACTAAGATACCAAACACTGCCGGAACGAGAAATATGAAAATAATTTGAAGAATATGAAAATGATTTGAAAGCAAAAAACTAACTGATTACTTAATGAAACTCATCAAGCACAGATTTATACAAATGACCGTGAGTGGAGTCCAAGCGGCAATCGGCGCCGATTGGAGTCCACCTCTCTCCATTATTCCATTCGAGTAGTGGGGTTAGGAAGGGTTTCCCAACCTCACCATTCCTCTTCAACTTTGCCATCGATGACATTCTGGAAACAGCGCTGATGGATGTAAGTAATGGCGGTGTGGATCTGTTGCCTGAAGAAAGACTTCTCGACCTTGAGTATACGGATGATATTGTCTTACTGTGCGATAATGCCCAAGCCATGCAATTCGCACTTAATCAGTTGGCAATCAGTGTCTGTAGGTATGGCATGTACTTTGCACCTTCGAAGTGCAAAGTACTTCTACAAGACTGGCAGGATTCCAATCCTGTACTCACCCTGGATGGTGAGCAGATAGAAGTAGTCGAGAAGTTCGTGTATCTAGGTAGCTGCATAAGTGCTGGTGGGGGTGTGAGTGATGAGATCAATGCACATATAGTGAAATCCAGAGCGGCTTATGCCAATCTGGGCCACCTTTGGAGCCTTCGTGATGCTAGTCTGGCTGTAAAAGGCCGGATCTACAACGCACCGGTGAGAGCAGTTTTGCTCTATGCTTGTGAAACCTGGCCTCTCCGAGTTGAGGACGTTAGACGACTCTCTGTGTTCAATCATCGTTGTCTATGAAGGATTGCTGGCATCCAGTGGCAATACCATGTTAGTAATGCAGAGGTTCGGCATCGTGTGTTCGGGCGCAGAGACGATAATCCAATTGGTCTCACCATCTTAAAACATCGACTTCGGTGGCTTGGACATGTTCTACGAATGTCGTCCAAGAGAATTCCTCACTGTGCATTGTTTGCCGACGCTGGGACTGGTTGGAAAAATCAGAGAGGTGGTCAGTATATGACATGGTGTCGTGGGATGAAAGGAAGCTGCAAAGGACTGGCTTCTGTTGGTCCTTCACGACTCCCTAGCTGGGGTCCGAGAGATGGTGCAACACAGTGGCTAGAGACGTTATCAAAATGGCTCAGAATAGAAGCCAGTGGCGATCCTGCTGTAACCTTCTTTTACTTTCTTCATAAAAAGTGGTTATGTCTTCCTTAACTGAAAGATTTCTTCTGATTGTACCTTTCGGTTCCCCCATTTTTACCATTATTACACCACCTTACATCAATCTCTTCGTTATTATTCTCTCTTTTTTTCCTTCCCCTTAAATTCTCATTGTTTTGTGTGGCGCATATATATTTGGCGCATTCTTGTACCAATATTTATGTGTTCAAATAAATAAATAAATATCCTTATACACAATCTTTCTTTTACATATTACCACCACTGAACTAACTTTGATGAATCCCGTGTTCATCTTGTTATGCTAATGAGGTATGTCAACTTGGACCATTGCACATATGTGCTCGGTCCTATGTTGCAGCTGACTGACTGATTATTATTAAGATCTTATCTCCAATCAGTTCACACTATTATTACGTCTGTGCAACACATGTCTTTGTTGAAATTTCAGGGATTATTTTGTGTTTAAATGATGATCACAGGTCGCTGCCAGATATAAGTTGAAAGCCGCTAATTGATTTGGATCTTCAAGTTGAAATGCTTCACTGTCAACAAATACGTACCAGCGCTAAGCAAGAAGCTTTTAACAGACTAGGTACTTTATCAATTTCACACACAATGTACAGATGGGTTGAAGATGGTAACGAGGTTAAGTGCTAAGAGCACTGGGATATAAGTTAGTATAACTACACTCCAGCAACTTATGAGAGGTTTAAGTACGTAACATTAGAAGAAAATTGTTATGTAAGTGCTATAAATACTACCTACATGTTTAAATGAATTATATATGAAAGGCTGGCTTGTTAATTCTTATACTAAAAATGCTTAACTACAACACCACTGGCACGTAAATTAAAGCAAAACTAACGACCCTATTTCTAGGTACTGAACCAGAGTACTTAGTAATAACAAAGCTCTTATGGACAAGCAGAATCAAGTACAAATTCATGTGAAATATATCCCCATCAATTTAACACTAACCTCATAGCAATGGTAAATATACCAGTCAAAGATACTTTTGTTAATGCAGGAGTGTGTCTAGCCAAACCCTTTTGCAAAACAGCCTGGAAAGCCACCGATTAGTTAAAAAGGGAATTTACATTCAAATGTTCAAATAAACTCTTTTGCACAAGATGCTGGAGAAACGTTGTAGCCAATCGGCTCATCGCAGGCTTCAGTTTTTCATCTATAAAATAAGAACTTAGGAAAATTAGCGTTCAAATGAAACAGCTATGGTACAATTACCATAAAATCTCCATTTTGAAATTTAGTATTCATGGATCTATCATTGAAGACAGAAAATAGATAACATGAAAATCCGCAGGTTTGATTGTTAGATGATTAACTTTACTTAACAAGCTTTATGCAACTGACCAGTTTCATTAGTTCTTAAATAAGAGTTATGAATAGAAGCCAAACGAATAAACCTGGACCAAGTTACTACATAATTACTAAACATTCGATAATAAGGTCATCTTTACGGTTAATATCATTTAGTCGGTAGCAACTATGAGCATCAGACTGTCTAAAAGCATAGCATATAATCAAATTGACACGAGTGTAGTTGAATGCAACCATTTCAAGCCATGTTTATTGGCGATAAATTTGCCATTAGTGAACAAGTATATTTTTTAGATATGAATGATCAGTCAGTCAGTCAGTAACAACGTAGAACTTCGTACGTACGTACGTACATCAGTTCGAGTTCCACACCACATTTGCACAGAGATGCAGTGGTCGATTCAAATCCCGTAGTGCTAGATGTAGTAAAATTATAAGCTAAAATCAGAAAAATTAGGGTTTGAAGATGTTATTCAAAGAGTATAATCCAGTGAAATAAATTTGGAAAGAGAAAAAAGGGACATGAAGAATCCAGAAGATTGGGATTTGGCAGAACACAAAGAGTGTATGCACCTGCGCCATTGCAAACGATTTTGAACCATGTCATTCACGGTCTCTAACCATCGCTTGCTATCATCTCGCGGTCCCCAACCAGGTAGTCTACACCTACCAACATGACTCAATCCACTTGTCAGTGACTTCGTGGACTCGTGCCATGTTTTGGTCTGGCCGCCCCTAGCTTTCTTCAAACCTACTCCTATACCACTGAACATAGCACGTCGAGGCAGTCGGTCGTTGGGCATACGTAACACATGTCCCAGCCATCTCAACTGATCAAGTTTCACTACGTCATCAATTGATTTGCCATCCTTACCTAGTACCCGTTTCCTAACAACTGCATTACTTACTCGATGGTCCCAGGATATACGAGCAATGTTTCGAAGACACCTATGATCAAATACTAGTAACCTACGAATATCCTCTACTCTTACCGGCCATGTTTCACTGCCATAAAGTAGGACGGAACGAACTGCTGTGCAGTAAACACGTCCTTTGGTTGATAGACGGATATCTCGCCTACGCCATAAATGACGCAAGTTGGCAAAAGCTAGTCGAGGCTTCTGTATCCGTACTGAGATTTCGTCACACATCAGACCACAAGGGCTGATAAGGCTTCCAAGATAAGTGAAGCGATCGACACAATTACTTCACTCCCTATCATTAGTTCGGGTATCGATGCAGCCCAATCCTGAAGCAACATTTTACATTTCGAAAGGGAGAATCGCATCTCGAACATGCTTGCATTGTTGCTTAGAGTGGTCAGAAGACTCTGCATTTTGTCAGCGTCTTCGCCAAATAAAACTATGTCATCTGCATATTCTAAGTCAACAAGTGAACCTCCTGGTAGAAGTTCAACCCCTGGAAATTTAGATGAGGAAAGTGTTATGTCTAAAAGTACGTCGACCACAAAGTTGAACAAGAATGGGAAGAGTGGACAGCCCTGACAGTATTGAACAAACCACTTATCCTATGAGGTTATAAGCATAAATTTAAAGGTAACAGAAAATCATGAAGATGAAAACCAATAAAAGTTTCTAGAATTGTTGACTAAATAAGTGTAATTAAACCTGCGTTCATCAAACTCGTATCGACTGCTGCAGACAATTTCAGTTCGAGTGAACTGTACTAGATTATAAAGCACCAATAATTCATATCACTAAGTTCTGTGTGAAACGATGGGTTTTCAATTACAGATCTTAATTACTGTAATGAAACATTATTTGGTTACTCAAATATATTTCGTCATCTTAACAAACGTACGTTTCGAACGTTTTGTTAGATCACGAACCATCAGAATCCAGTTGACACAAAAGAAATGTCGGGTCACTTTTCAGACCCGTATATAGTTCAAAAACTCAACTCGATGTTTGTTACAAATCTAAACATCTAACCCTTCAAGGTGTTCAGCTATGTACGACAGAACTTATGACTTACTCGACAGAATCAATAAACATGCAGTACTGTTATCCCTACGTTATGACAGAATATCTTTTTCCTAATAAGGACAAAACAAAGCATATAAATGCAGCAGAAACTCAATAACCAATATTTTGAGTTCTGAGTGTCGCATATCGTCTTATAGTTTGTTTAACATTAACTCAATTAAGGAAGAACTGAACTAAAAAATGAATGCTAAGAATCAAAACATATTAAATACAGTAAACTTGTTCATCTAGTTCAATAACTTGACTCAAATGTACAAAAACCGAATAGCAATAACACTAATACATTATGGAATAAACTCACCTTGTATCAGCGACCATTGGCAACAGTTGGTATGTATTAATAAGAATGACAGAAATATGTTCAAGACCTTGGAATCACTAGGAATGGATGGCTAAACATGTATGGTACCGACAAGAACTTACATCTAAAGAACCCATATGTTCGACAACCGTAGAGAACAACCATTTCGTTGTAATTATCCAATCAACCAGTGTGGGTTTCCTTAACGCAAGAGATACATAAGAAACCTGAATGTTATGAGTGATTTAAAGTAGAATACTTTAAAGTCTCCGGTATCCACAGAGTTCACTATATATCGAATAAGAACTAGAAAACGCTAGAGATAGTAAACACCCTAAACCTTGATAAGAGCAACTTACTTCATAATCCAGTTTCGAGTTATAATGGAACTTCAGATACTTTACATACCTCAAAAGTTCAGTGGCTTAAAGCAAAAATACAAGGGCGAATGTCTAACAAACCAGGAATCAACTGAGTCAATTTGACACCATTTCCTTCAAGTATCTTGAAGTCAAACTCCGAGCTGAGTATAACAAGTTTACCTAAAAACGGACAAACCGGAAGCCTCGAATGACATTTCTCCTAACTACGAAACTTCTCCAGTTTTTCTACAACTATCCTAAAACATTGTTTAAACTCACTTGAATGATTACAGCTGATAGCGCTCTAGCTTTAGCATCGCGCCGCTCATTTCTTTGCTTCCTACTTTGTTCGATAAAATCAGTTACTTCAGGCTTAACCTCCTTAAACATAAGTCAGTCGGAACGGCCTTCACAGACATTTAGCGCCGTTGCGCACATATTCGATAGTGTGACCAAGTACAAAGTACAAACCTCTCTCGACAAAATTAGCGATTCGTTTGTCTTCTGGGGTTTGTATCTAAATGAAAGAAGAATAAATCACTAGGAGGTTTTAATATTATTGCCCCTGGCAAAAAGTTCAGCAGTTTGGTGATTATGAACACGGGAAAGTTTTAAAGAATTTTATTGAGGTATTCTATCCAGTATGGATGCCTGTTTAAGTGTAGACCATTGATAAAATACATGAGATGTTAGCCACATGGGAGGCACTAATGAGTGATATGATGCGCTATGATCATATCTACCCTATTCTTTCTGAACCGTACCAGCTGCAAGTTCAGAGCTCCTATACGATTTGATTATGGTTTACTTTCTAGTCCAAACTTCACTATCATATCCCTTTTTTAACACTTTTCGAGGAGCAAACACATCTTTTTAGGTGCTGGCACAACCAAAATGTCGACTAACTTATCCTTGAATTACAAACGCAAGCTGCCAAATGCAATTTCGTCGATCAACTTTATGTGCAGCTGCATGATCGATTGACTGCAGAGACTAACATATCTAGTCTGGAAAGATATCCCATGCAAATGCCGAAGTGTCTCTTTCGAGATACTAGAACCGTGTGAATTAATTACGAAGCACTGCATGAAATTGACTTCCAGGACACCAATGACTACACAACATTATTTAGTTACCACAGTTCAATGTATGCTCAAGGTCATACAGACAAGAATTGCAAGACAGGTAACGAAGGTGACACACAAGTTTGGTAAGTGTTTGCCCTATAGCAAATTTCATGCACCTAATTTATGTGTCTCTCATAATGCTAAATGCTCCAGCTGTGGTAACACTGGACACATTCATTCAGTTTGCAAAACTTGTGCTAATAAACTTTGCCATTCGGTCGATTCTAATGATCATATATTATCCTTATTGACAGCTTCCAGTAACTCCCTTCACATTCAAAAACGACTCTAAATGCCTGATGGTACTTTTCATGTTTTTATTATTAACACTGACAATGTTAAGTCCGTCGTTTCGGTTGTAAAGTCAAAGTCACGGAATTCTGATACTGTAATCACGCTTACTCAAGTTGTCACTTCGAGTATTACTGGTCTTAAACCTTCTATTCTTCAACGTAGTAATTTGTCGATCAGCGATGATAAATGTTCAACTGTAAATTGTGAATTTCTCATCATTGAGCTTGGATCGACTACGCTAGGTCTAGAAATTTTAGGAGTGGTTCAGGGTCAGCTTCCCCTTTGTGATAACTGGAAATGTTTCCTATGATGTGCTTGATAACTTGCTAACTAATGAATCGAAATTCGGAAATTTATACACGACTCCAAAGTCTCTTAATTTTCATGTGCAAGTAAGAAATCTCCAAACCCTGAAAACAAGTGTCAGTTTTACTACTGCTACTAGGGTAAAAGACCCGGAAAGGAGAATGGGAAAAGTTCTTCAGTGCAGAATTGCCACGCCGTACGCAAGATAAACAATGATGAAGTTGATTAAACAACAAATCTTTTCGAAAGAACTCCTTTTTTTACAACCTATGGAAGTTCTGCTTAAGCAGGTTAATAAATCTGTGGTTCATATGCGAATCACTCACAACAGTCCAATGCAGCACAAAGAACCAGGTATGTCTATTCCAATTTTAGCTGTTAATTCTAATACTAACGATCACATTCTAGATCATACAGAGTCTGTATCCAACACTTAGACTGTAGGACATTCAATGAACCTTAGAAGAAGACGTACAATCGATTACAGATATTTAGATTCAAATTTAAGCTGTGGCAGTTATGATATTCGTATGAACTAATTATTGTTTTGTACTCGATTCCTGATTGATTTTGTATTCTAAATACGATACATACTTTTACGCCGGCCTAGTTCTATTTGGCTTCAATTGCACTGCTTCGAGAATTCCTAGTGAATACAATAATTCGAATACTTCTATTTATCATAAAAAGACACCTGAAATATCACATAGATTGGAGCTGAAGTTCTGTACGCGACGAGTACAGTAGAGTTCCTCATAAGTATAAAAACAGAACAGATATTTGCGGTCTGACAAAGCTTCTTCTATAGCAACTTTATAGTCGAATGACACCAATCCTGTCAAATCAGAACTCGAGAATCAAGGGACTCAGCTGGCTATTTGTTACGAGAGATGGTTCACATGACGCACCCAATCATGATCTAGTGCAGATTTGCGGTAGGCTTCGAGTCGCGGTTGACTAGGATCACCACAACAGGAAGACTACGTGCCAGTTACCGGGCTAGACCGCTCCGTAGGTCAAATATCAGGAGGCAGTTGCAGGTCACAGTAAGATGAATTTGTTAGCAATCTCATGGTATCGAAATAATACCGAGATCGTACCAAAATTCGCGGGCGAGACTACTGAGAGTACGAGAGTTCGTGCAAGGACACAAAAAACGGAAGTGTTTTTTGGTACACTTAAACAAACAGGTACAGTAAAACAATCACCGGTACAGTTGGTTATAATAATAATTATTTCCGTTATGCCAATCGCGTTCTCTTCACAAAACTAGGTCACTACATATTCTTTACCAAGCGCCCTCAGCTAGGGTTTGTACAGTAAAATTACTGTCGAAAACGTACAGGACAATTGAGTTCAAAGATTTATTTGCCGCTGCAAGCATTCTAGATTTATTGGTACTGACAGCGCCTGTTTCTGACAGGCCTGTGAAAGCTTTTAGGAAATGCATTGTAGTTAGAATTATTCGAAATGTGATGACTAAGAATTCCAGAAATAGTGCAGGTTAAATTATGTAGAGCTAGTTGAGCACAACCGGACGTATTATTTGTAATAGGCGTGCAGTTGAGTACAAAGGAATCATCAGTTCCTAAAAATACCACAAAATGTCATGCAGGTCACGTATTCCTCTTCGAACTTTACAACCATTCGTGTATAGAATTGTCGGGAAGTTCAAAATATTAGATTAACATCAAGGGGAAGGATGGCCTGGGGATTTAGAGGTGTGAGTTTGCCCGTTACAACGATCAGTAGATATATACATAGCCAGCTCCGAATGCTGTTATAAATCTCATTATGTGAATATGCAAATTTTACTTGAAGATGCTTGACAGAAAATCGGCCGACAACAGATCTAGTATTGTGTTGGTTTCGTTCGGCAGTGGAACTCGAAGATTAAAAATTAGGTAGGCAGTGGGCGGGTTAAAAGATATAACAAGATAGTTCATAGTTTAAAACATAGTTTGACGTTAAGTGAAGAAACGAGATGAAGAATCAGTTCTAGATAACCACTGAATCATTGCTCACGTTGATAACCAATGTATATTTACGTCATTTAAATACATATTTGCCATAGCACGATGTTTTAACAAGTTTATTTCTCTGAAGCCTGTAAATTCTATTACCGCTTGTCAATAAACCATCGTAACTGGTGACTGATATAGGCGATCAGTTATTAGTATCGATTGAGCTAGCAAGTTATGAGTAATAATCAACATAATAATACGACAATACACGTTAGCATTTCCTAGAGGACTAATAGAATAATGGATTAACGTAAGTAGAAATCGATCAAGAAACTTAAATCAAAAATGAGGATTAATAATATTCCCCGTTTCTTCAGTCAAGCTTACCAATGTACAATAGTATGCTACTTTGTCATTAGTATGTAGCGGCATTGAATCCCAGCCCCACAATCCTCAAAGCTGAACACGAGACAACTGAGAGAATAGATATCCAACGTTTAACGCGGCGAAAACACAACGATGGAGAAGACAGGAAGAAAAAAATTAAATTAATTCAAATTCATCAAATAACACAGCTCGGCCTTACAGGCGTGATCATTCTTGTGCAACTTTTATTCATATTCAATATGTTGTTCTATCTACAGCCTAAACGTGTTCTCCATCATATTTTAGTGACTGCTGCGATACTATGAATCAGTGTGGACAATGATGTGACTTCCATGTAAGATCTTATAGATTAGGCAGTCGCATCATCTATAAATCACATCACTGTCTACACAGACTCGCCCTATCTTAGTCACCGAAATATGACGGAGAACACACTTAGTTTGTAGACTACCTACTTATGCCTGTCACTCTCAACAGAACATGGGCCGCCGATCAGTATTCTCCAACCCACTCTGTCCTGAACCTTCCTCTCCAGTCCGATCCAATTTTTGTTCATTCTTCCCATGTCTTTCTCCATTTCTCGTATTATTGTGTTCTTCGGTCTTCCTCTCCCTCTTTGGCCTTCAGGATTCCATATGAGGGCTTGCCTTGTGACACAGTTGGGTGCTTTACTCCACGTGTGTCCTATCCACTTCCAGCGCTTCTTCCTGGTTTCTTTCTCCACTGGGATCAGGTTTGTTCTCTTCCACAGTAGGTTGTTACGGTTAGTGTCTGGTCAACGGACCCCAAGTATTTTGCCTAGACAACTGTTAATAAACACCTGTATCTTCTGGATCATGGCTTTCGCAGTTTTCCAGATTTCTGCCCCATACAGTAGAACTGTCTTGACATTTGTATTGCAAATCCTGACCTTGGTGTTGGTTGACAGTTGTTTTGAGTTGCAGACGTTCTTCAGTTGTAAATATACTGCTCTTGCTTTACCGACCTGAGTTTTCACATCTGCATCAAATCCACCATTTTCATCAATGATGCTGCCCAGATATGTAAAGGCTTTTACACCTTCCAAATTTTATCCGTCAATTGTGATTGGATTGTTGCATGTTGTGTTGTATCGCAGAATCTTGCTTTTCTCTTTGTGTATGTTGAGACCTACTGCTTCTGAGGCTGCTGCTACACTGGTCGTCTTCTCCTGCAGTTGTTGTTACATGTGTGGCAAAAGAGTCAGATCATCTGTGAAGTGTAGATCGTCCAGCTGAATCTTTTCTGTCCACTGTATCCCATCCTTACCCAAGATGTTGATGTCTTCATGATC